TGCTGTAAAAGCTTGTTATCACTTTAAATTTTCTATCCCCTCGTTTTTCCTTTATCTAGTTCATCAAAAGGATTGAGAACACCGGCGGCAAGCTTCTTTGGGGAGAACATATAAACATTTTCGCAACGTCATAATAGTTGTGTTAATGTATGCAAAAAGTATGTCGAAACGCAGCTAGGCTATAGACATTTACATCTTGTGTATAAAGAAATGTGTTCATATATTTGTTTATTCAGTGTATTGGAAGTTGAATATAAAAAGTCCTCGGTAGATATAACTATCTGATGAAAAATCTTCGACCTCTATCTAAGCCAAGTATATTTAAGAGAACAAGAAAGATCTCGTCTGTTATTCCGCTGGTTTGCTATCGTTTCAAAGGGGAAGGACTCGGGGAGATATCAGGCAGACACTGAGAAAATAGTAAATCACAAAGAAAGATAGAGATAAAAAAACACACATGTATAAACTTGTACTAATAAACGCACATCCAACACAGCTCACTAAGATCAGCACAAGCGCAAGTTAAAATTCAGTTCAATTTTCTCCACAACGATTTGTCGGTTAGGGTAGAGTCTCGCAAAAATCTAAGCGCTGATGCCTTCTGGACTTAATCGACTTACGTTCAAGGATGTTCTTTTATCATTATAACAATCGTCCCTTTTTGCTTTATCGTAATAGTTGCTTTTACTGCATAAAAAAATGTATAAATTTACGACTGACTGAGTGAGTGGGTTGGGATTTAAATGAATCAAATTGATCATTCAAGTATTTATAATATCTTTTACATACCGCATTATGGCGTAAACAATTGCAGATGCGGATGCCAAAAGTGTTCTTCCCGTATTTGGGAACTATCGACCACCAAAAAGACGGAGAAGTATGACTCAGTTCACGACAAGAGGCATCCGAACAATTCCTACGTATGACTGGGATGTAAGCACTAAAACTCTAATAAGTAGTAATTTGGATGTTTTTTTGTTGTCACAGGCTTGATCTTAAGTCTGATTGCCACTGACGATACGAGCCGATGGAATGATTCGTTCAACGTCACTATCGTTACAACATGCTGTTCGTCGTGTTTATGTTATTGTTCTATCATAGCCGAACCAGCCATGTAGAGAGAAGGCCCACTTACTGAAGCTCTTTACGTCGTTTGATTGGTCCAATCATCTCTACCTGTTCTCTGCGTCTTAGATGAAGGTAAAAAATGATAACATTTTAAACAGCGCCAAGCGCGGCGAGTGCCGAAGATAATAATACCATCAGCCAATGAGAACGCCGCAGATGATAGAACAAATAATTATATCTACGCGCATATAAGGAGCAGAGTAGGATATTTTCTTTCTACGAATACTTAGAAAACGCTAAGAAAATTATTTGCGCTGCACTTTTAAAGCGAACAAGCTACAGCCGTATTTTATGCGTTGCTCTTGGGATCAGAAAGCTGGCAGTAAAACTCCTATTGCACTGGAAGGCGTTTGCTTGGAGCGGTAACGAAAAGAGTAAATTACGGCAGCCTCCAATAACGTTTAGAGGTAAAATGTTAAGTCGAAAGCACAATGCTAAAATATTGTACAAAAGACAGCCTTCAGACGTTGACGTTCTTTCTTGTACGACGGTTCTTTCGCAATAGTCATACAAAAGCTGCAAAGGTGTTCGATGCGCACGTATGTAGCAACCAAGGCATACGTGTGTAGGAACCAAATGTGCCTAGAACATGAATGAACCATGAGCGCTGATAAAGCTCTCATTGTCTGCAGCGAGCACAGTGTATTTTTTATGACAAATGAGCTGTAAGAATCCGGCGTAAAAGAATAAGATGAAGCCGCTGATGTCGTGTTTTCGCAAACAGTAATGTGCCGTGCATATCCCAATGTAGCTTAATTTCATGGTAATTCAATCTTTAATAAATGCCATAGTAAATTCTAACCACATACAATGTTTGTGTTCAATGAAAAAAATAACTGATTAGTTTGGCACCTGTACGTGAAAATATAAACTACGAAGATTTTTTTACAAACCATTACAACATTTAGAAAGCTATTAAGTATAATCGCGTAAGCAAATGCGCTAAGTGATTTTTAATAATTTTGTTTCGCTAGATTTTTAACACATTGCGGGAGTGAACAAGAAACTCAGGGACCTACACTGTGACAATAATTGTGATAATAAAAATATTTATTTTCCCGTGCCCTAAAGTACCAGCAAGCATTCTGCTTGGTGCACAAAATCCATCAGGAGCAAAAAAAAAAAATCATTCTTTACGATCACTGTAGTGTCACTGAATGTATCAATTTCAGCATGTTCAATAATATTAAGCAGGGTTTGTGTCCTTGACAAAGAACAGGGTTTACAGACAGTGTGAATGTTGAAAGTACTCTGATTACCAGTGGAACGTGGATGGACATGAGTATTCCGATCATGTAAATGCGAGCTATTGTCTAATGCGCTATTTGCAATCTTTACAGGAAAACTAAATCGCGTTTTGTTTTTCTATCGGTCAAAGGTGTAGCAGCTAGCCAACGATGGCACCATTGGAAGAAGAGAAAGACACGACGGACACGGGGCACGAGAGAATAAAGAGCATTCATTCCGAATCGCCATTCTGGCTGATGCGTGCTGCTTCGTACATGGTGGCAGCGGCTAAACTTATCGTGAGCGAGGCACGTAAGTGACCAGCCTATGCAGGAAGCCAGAACTGACAACAGTGGCAACGCGACCGAGGACCGCGAAGGACGCCCACGAGAGCAGACAGCGAGCATCATGACCTGTCTGTTGCCCCCGCCGAAGCAGCTAGACCTAACCGGCGAGCCTTGGAATACATGGAAAACGTGGATCACGGAATTTGAACTCTTTGCGGTGGCAACGCACCTGAAGGACCAGCCAAGCAATGTTCAAGCAGCAACGCTCCTCGTCTGCATCGGAGAGGAAGGTAGGCGGATTTACAGCACCTTCACATTCGAAAACGATGCCGACAGAGAGAACATACAAGTTCTGAAGGACAAGTTTGAGCAGCTCATGAAGCCAGCTATAAACCTAACGTACCACGAATTTGTTTTTGGAAAGAGAGATCAAAAAGACGGAGAGAAATTCGATGAGTGGTTGACCGAGCTAAGGATCCTCGTGCGAAACTGCGAGTACGGTGTTGTCGAACAACGCATGTTGAGAAGCCGAATAATACTCGGGACTAAAGACAAACAGCTACAGCAAAAGCTTATCAACGACAATCCCACTTTTGCGAAAGTACTCGAAATGTGCCGAACAAAGGAACGAACGCAGGAGCAGTTCAATGAAATCCGCAAAGAGTATGACCAAAATGAGGATGACCGAAGTGAGGACCCACCAGGAATACAGGCGCTGCGAAAAGACCAAGCGACATGCCGCTGTTGTGGTTTCGTACACCGCACGAGCGCATGCCCGGCTACAGGAAAGCAATGCCTTAGCTGTGGCAAAGTTGGACATTTTGCAAAATGCTGCAGCAAAGGTCCACAGTCATCTAACAGCCGACAGCAGCGCCAAAGAAAAAGAGGAAGAAAATACGACCACAAAGTCCGCCAAGTTGAGCGTGAGGACACTGACGAAAGCGATGAAGACTATCTGCTCTGTCACGTAACAGTGAACAAGATAGACAAAGAAGACCGCTGGAGTGAGACAATACAGATCGAAAAAGACCGCCTACGCTGCAAGCTCGACACAGGAGCAAATTGCTCCGTAATCCCAAGGAGATTACTCAGCTTGATCTCAAGTAAAAAAGTCCGCAAGTGTGACACTACACTGTCATCGTTCTTTGGCCACAAAGAAAAAGCGTGTGGAAGAGTTACCCTGACAGTGTCAACTGGAGCCTCAACGACCCAAGAGGAGTTCTTTGTGGTCAAAGATGATGTACCAGTGACACTGGCGGGAGAGCTGAGTGAGAGGCTCGGATTGATCAGACGCATAGCTACAGTCACAGAAGGACCCAACGATGCGACAAAGGAAACAGCTACAAGCTTGAGCGATCCTACGGGACCATATGCAGATGTCTTCCTTGGACTGGGAAAAGTCAGGGGCTTTACATACAGCATGAAAGTAAACCCTGGTACAAAAGGTATTGTACGCCCAGCAAGAAAGGTACCGGTGGCTCTCCAGGAGAAGGTCAAGCGCGAGCTACATAGAATGGAGAACGAAGGGGTAATCATGAAAGTCAAGGAGCCGACCGAATGGTCCAGCTTCATGGTAGTTGTCGCAAAGAAAGACAAAGTGCGCATCTGCATGGATCCAGTAGACTTGAACAAAGTTCTGAAAAGAGAACACTACCCAATGACGACAATGGATGACATCGCCACCCGAATTGCCGGAGCGAAAGTGTTTTCGGCTCTGGACGCATCTTCTGGGTTTTGGCAAATAGAACTCGACGAAGAGAGTTCGAAGTTGTGCACAATGAGTACTCCCTATGGGAGGTACAGGTTCAAAAGGATGCCCTTTGGGATAAGCACAGCTCCTGAAGTTGTTTAGCGCGTCATGAACGAGATTTTGGAAGACCTCCCCGGAACAGCAGTTGTGATGGACGATATACTAGTCTGGGGTAAAACCCAGCAAGAACACGATGAAAACATTAGGCGCCTGCTCCAACGCTGTCGAAATGTGAACCTACGACTCAACCCGAAAAAGTGTCAATTTGGCAAGACAGAAGTTCGTTATCTCTGGCAAGTACTAACCGGAGACGGCATCACCGTGGATCCAGACAGGATCCAAGACATCCTGGAAGTGAAAGAACCTAGAGATCCCAAGGAACTTCGAACATTCCTTGGAATGATCACATACCTCTCTAACTTCATACCACGACTTTCGGAGCGAGCAGCACCGCTGCGGGAACTGCTGAAGAAGGAGAGCGCGTGGGTATGGACAGAACAACAGCAAAGAAGCTTTGAAGACCTGCGGGATGCCTTGACAAAAGCACCAGTGTTGGCATACTACACACCAGAAAAGCCCAATGTCCGATGAGACTACAACGAATGAAGATGGCTCTCCAGAAATACTCGTTGCAAGTGAAGCATATACCTGGGAAAGAACTGCTGCTAGCGGACGCACTTTCACGTTTTCCCGCTAAGGAAACACTGGAAGAAGAGGAAAAGTTCCAAGTAAACGCGCTAGAGCACATATCAGTTACTCAAGACCGCCTTCAAGAAATCCGAGAGGCAACCGCAAGTGACGCACAACTGCAACTGCTGCGTCAGTATGCGCGGACTGCATGGCCGGAAGAGAAAGACCAAGTGCCGCAACTTGGAAAGCCTTTTTGGTCATACCGGGAGGAAATCCATGAAGAAGATGGACTTGTACTCCGATCCAACAAGCTAGTCATACCTACAGCTATTAGGCAAAAGATCATCAACCTGCTGCACGCAGCACACGCAGGCAAGGAGAAGATGAAAAGAAGAGCTCGAGATATTCTGTTTTGGCCAGGAATCAACGCTGAAATCGAGGGCAAGTACGACAACTGCAGCATATGTCAAAAGTACAAGCCAAGAAATGTCAAGATGCCACTCTTGAGTCATGCGGTGCCAGCACTGCCTTGGCAGTATGTTAGTGTGGATTTCTTTACTCATCAAGGACGGGATTTCATAATCATGGTGGACTTCTACTCATTTTACTTCGAGGTCGAAGAAATGAAAACCACCACAGCTTCCAAAGTTAAAGAGTTTTGCTTGAAGGCCTTCGCAACACACGGACTCCCTTCAAAACTTTTAAGTGATAATGGCCCGCCGTTTGGGAGCCACGACTTCAAACAGTTCCTGGAAAACTTGAAGATCGAGCAAGTAACTTCAAGCCCTTACCATGCCCGATCAAATGGCATGGCCGAACGAGCCGTGAGGCAGGCGAAACAATTGCTGAGAAAAAGTGCGAACACGGAAGAGTTTTACTATGCACTTCTTGAATGGCGCAACACTCCACGAGACGAGGTCCTCCAATCACCAGTACAAAGATTGATGAGCCGGCATACAAGAACGCTGTTGCCCGCCAGGCTTGAACATTACCTACCTGTTATCGTACCGCCCAAAGCCGTCACACAACGCCTCACAAAAATAAGGCAACAACAGAAGGCTAGCTATGACAAGTCCTCCAGAGCACTAGCAGATATTGAAACAGGTTCTCAAACTACCGTCTACAACAGCCTCAAGCATACCTGGTCACCTGCAATAGTAGTGGGCCATTCTACATCAAGATCCTACAACATTCAGACCCCGGAAGGCCAAGTGCTTCGGAGGACACGCGAACACTTAAGACCAGTGGCACAATCCCCCCAAAAGACGACCTCCGAGGCTACAGAGCCAGTAAACGAGGGTCAAGTTGAGTCTGAGCCGCGCCCGCTGATTCGAAGAGGAACAAGGGATAGAAGGCTACCACAACGATATGGGCATGACCACGATATTTAGATTTACACAAATCTCTAAACTAGTTTTTTTTTTTTTTTCTGACAAAGGAGATGTAGCAGCTAGCCAACGATGGCACCATTGGAAGAAGAGAAAGACACGACGGACACGGGGCACGAGAGAATAAAGAGCATTCATTCCGAATCGCCATTCTGGCTGATGCGTGCTGCTTCGTACAAAAGGTACCAGCGAAACCTTATTAGGAAGAAAAGTAGAGTTATAATAATAGTGACATTGAAAGTAGCGATCGCAAGCAATACGGATTAGTCTTTGTACCACATTTTCAATGGTATTACCTGCGTTTTGATCTAACAGATTTCACGCCACAGAACCTAACTAATGCCTAGACCTAACTAGGGCAGTAAAAAAACGAAAAGAGGAAGCCGGGCTCCTAAACTGCTTAGTAATACGAGATATGACTTGCAACATTCTTGTCGCTTACCAGTTATAAACGACACGTGAGCAGTAAATCCGTATGCATTATGGAAATAACGCCAAGGTATATTACAGCAGATGCACGTTTGATTGCCACGTCTTCTATAGTATAATGTTTGTGAACTACAGTGCGAAGCCTGCAGACAAAACATTTGTTTTGGGGGGTTTCAACGATTAGGTATTCACCGAACACCACCGGCCAAAGCGTGATACATCATGCGGCAGAACATGGCAGCCAACCAGAGAGTTTACACTCATAAAAAGCTTGATGTCATCCGCAAACATCAGTAATGACGCGTTCACACTGGAAGCGGATCCGCAAAAGCGAAGCGGATCGCGCGTTCTCAACCGCCAATCGGCTTGGATCGGGTGGTTGGAGCGAATTTTTCCGACCGCTTCGAGAGCGATTTCTCCGAACCGCTTTCATGAACGGCAAAGCGGCAACCAATCACAACGCGACGCTGACGTGACGTCAGTGACTTTCGAAACAAGATGGCGCCTCTCGCCGGTGAGGCGTCCAAGGCCCCGTAGTCCTAGCGTTACAACAAACAAATCAACGGAGAAACGTGATATTCACGTCTGTCACTTGAACCCACCGCGAAAAGAAATGACTCGTAATATTAACGGGCTTCGCGCCGGTGATTTGGTTTGTGCACGTGGGTTTGGGTAAGAGTTTGTTTACTACTCCGAGTGCCTCAGCCTGAAGCTCGCTTCCTTGTTGGTCTCCGCCCGTAGAACGTCGGAAGCCGCCTTTGATCGACCGAAATGTCAGCTTTTGTACCCACTAAGCCAGTCCATGAACTATTGAAAGCTTTCAACACCGTGCATGACCACCACGAAGGCCGATAGAGACGTCGTGAGCCTGATTGCGTAGCCAACGCACTACAGCGGAGCGGGCAGTGTACTGCGGTAGCTCGACCTGTAACGTTTACTACTTACAAAAGAAACAAAGAGAACATATTCAAGAAATAAAGTGTACGTAGCAGACGATTTAGAGGTAATTCACACGGAATTTTTTTAACATAATGCTGAACGAAGAGCAGACTCGATCGACGTCCGGGTTACGAGAGGAGAGTCCGCCACCAACGAAGCCTCGACGGGCTAGCACCGAACACATTCCCCCGCACCACGGTCGACCACTGCCGCTCACAACTCCGAAAATGATACGAACGAACAACGAGGGGGAAAGACTGGCCCTCTATTCCGAAAACAAGGTCTGCTATTCATGCTGGTCCACTTCGTAGAAAAGGTCGGGGCTTCGCACGGGTTCAAAGCTGGGAGCCATCAGATCGCGGCTTCACTTGGAGAAAGACGTTTGGCCGCCGTTTGGCGCGGTTTCAAAGCTGATGACGTCAGTGCTTTCGCATTAAAAATCTTAATCTATCAATCAAGCAAATAGGTTTATTGGAATTCCAGGAGCAACCAGTCGGTCTTGGTGCTGCCACGCTGGCGATCCAAACACTCAAAAACAATGATCACACCCTCATTCAAATTCAATATATGAAAATTAAAACTTGAAAAGGACACACAAAGATCAGAATTACCGACCCATAAAATAGAAAAGTAACTATTTATGCTAGAAGTTAAAGTGTTCGTGCGCATGAAGATGATTGTATGTGGATGTAGGAGGAGAGTACATGACCCAGATAGAAGAAAACAGCAAGTGTAAGCTTACAAATTTTCGCGAAAATATTTTATGTAGCCCTCGTGCCATTTTTAATTATTATCGGGCAATTAAAAATTTGTGGTAACATGTGGGCTAGATGAGTTTCAAGAGTAAAACAAGGTGTCTACAAAGTTACAGGCAAGATTAAAAATTCGTGTGTGATTCACTGTAATATCTGACTACCCCTCAGCTCCGCCTTACTTTGAACAGGTTTCTGATTCAGCGGTGGTAATTTTTCCATCTGGAGTCAGATATGCCCAGTTTGTTAGCGCAACCGTTGTAACAGTCCAATAACTTAAGAATTGGGCACAAATGACTAAATTTTTTGGATGCATCAAAAGGTGAATTGAGTGTTGTGGGTACTGTTGGAAGCATAATGCTCATGGTTGAAAAAACCCCGAGACTGCGGGTAAACGACACAACACTAAAAGTGTTGTGTCGTTTAGTGTTGTGTCGTTTACCCGCAGTCTCGGTTTTTTTTCAACCATGTGCAATGTACACCACCTCGTTTGCGCCCTTACTTTTTGTTCATAATGCTCGCTTCCGATAAAATATTTGGGGAGTCAATTAGTCCGTGAAGTGTGTGCATAATAATTACAAAATCCGCTTTCTCTCTACGTTGACGTGGGGCAAGTAATCTAACACATTCCAAAAGAGTTTTATCGTCCAAAGTTTCTTCATCCCTAGCCAAATAGGAATACTTAAAAAATCAGATGAATTTGTTTCGCACCCGTTTAATTCTCAGTGAATTGGTTTTACAGTTGCCGTTCTGCACCACCCACGCATAGCTTAGCTGTGAGCGGCCCAGTGAACAATAAAGTGTTAAAATATGCATGGCTTCTTGAATCCTCTTGTCGGGCAACACAAAAGGCCGAACACTCGTAAAGACATGCAAATCCTATTGCTCACGTGAACATGAAATCTTGTGTTTGAACCAGATATAGCACCGACATTGATAATGCGATTCGATGCAAAGGTGCAAGCGATATGGGCATGAATGATGCACCTTGCAGCGTTTGGAGTGTTGTGTTTGTTCTTCGTCCCCCTGGGGGGGGGGGGGGGGGGGGGGGGGGTTCCCCTTCTCGATGGATTATTTTCGTCAGAACACCAGGGTTTCTTATTTTCGTTGCACGAGTCAATATGTCCCCCTCAATTTGAAAAGAAAAAACCTACATTTTGAGTTTTCCGAAGAAATGCAAATACTTTGTATTGTGAACGGTTCAGACGGAGCCTGTTTTCCTTACACCAATTACTTAATCTGTTTACGTCTGACTTTGGTCTTACGCTGTCGTCAAGAGGTCGAGTGTCACGGTCGAGGTCGAGTAAACGGACACCAGAAATGTCGCACGTGGGTGGCACTGCTCAGCGGAATTTCAGAAGAATCCGTGATACAAATTTGCAGTTTTGTTCTAGTCACAAATTTTTCATCATTATATATTTTTGAGCATTTTCTTAGGACCTATCATTTTTTTAACGATTTAAGATGAATTAAACCTTATAATATTAGATAACAATGCCCCACGAACACTATACCCTGGGGACACCACATCTTACCTTAAGAAAAGGCGACGCATGTCCATCGACCACAAGTCATTGCGTACGTTGCTCAAGAGCTAAAAAAAGTAAATAGAGTTACGCCACAGACTACGTAGCTGTAGAGTTTCTAAAAAAAAATTTTTGGTTAATGGAATCAAATGCCTTAGTAAAATTGATAAATATTCCTAAGTTAAACGATCGGTCCTCTATGATTTTCAGAATAATTTATTTTTGTTGAAGTAATGCAGACTCTGTGTACTTTCTTTTACTTAAATGAGATGTTGCAGTTGGTTTCCTCTAGGGTGTGCAGCTGTGGTAGCGGGGATTTAGGTTTAGTATTAAAATGTACAACCCAACCCCTCTGAAGCGGGCAGCGGTGCAATCAACATGTTACGGCGCTGATTCACTGGTTAAAACCAAAAAGCGCATGGCCAACAGCCGCATTCTACTTTTGTTCTTTAGGTGACTGCGAGTGTAGATGAAAATTGAAATATTCAACGATCATCCATAAGGAATATTTGTTGGAAAGTGTAAACATTGGGAACTGCATAAAACACTGGGCTCAGTATATGATGTGTTTTTTTTTCCTATTGTATACTTGCCTGCTTTTCATTTTTTCTCTAAAATATTTGTATATCAGCTGTTTTGCCATCCTTTATTAAGTACTAAGTTTGTTACGATCCCTTGAAAAAGATCTTAGTTCAATTGGAATGTGTTCTCTCAAAGAAGTTCTATACAGACAAATATTTATATATATTAGCCAAGGATACTTTTCATTCAAAGTTTACGTAATATGTTTCGTTGTCAGATTTATGTCAAGCTACACAGGTTTAAAATTTATAGAATTTCACAAGCGGGAGATAAAAACATTGGCTGCAGGAACCACTGTTGTTGGTTGTCTATGAATGGCAATAACATTCGTCATGAAACTCACGATGCAGCTGGCTGTGAATACGGCGACGAAATGTTTTATTAAATACTCCCTTTTAGGAACTCAATTTTCCCGCCAGATTTAGCGAGGCATATAAATTGGTGCATAGGTCGTGCCATCAATTCTCCCGCTAAATTTTGCGGGGAAACTGAATTGGTGCAGAGTGACGTAAATGTTTCCGCTAAATTTAGTGGGGAGTCTGAGTTACTGCAAAAGTCACGTGACGTAAATGTTTCGCTAAATTTAGCGGGACACGTGAATTTGACTGTAGGTCCCGTGAAGACAGGTCACGTGACACCAAATTTTCCGCTAAATTTAGTGAAGAACCAGCATTTGTCATTAGGTCCCGTGAC